CAAACAAAAAAACCACCTCACTGTCTAGGGCTGGCATTTGGCGCAGTGGCACACCAATATCCTGCATCACAGTGCCTGGACCCAAGTCTCAGCGCTGCTTCTGACTCAGCCTCCTGCTGATGCGCACACTGGGAGGCAGCAGGTGACAGCTCGAGTACCTGAGTCCCTGCCACCCACAGGAGAGACTCAGATTGAGTTCCAGCCTCCTGGCTCTGGCCTGACCAAGCCCTAAATGTTGTAGGCATTTGAGGAGTGAACCAGTGGGTGGGAGATCTCTGTCTGTCTTTCTCACTGCCATTCAAATAAATAAGATAAATCAGTAAATTTAAAAAAAAAAAGCCCTCCCCATCTACTGTGGCTTCCCCTGACCACCTGATTTAGCGCTGTTCCCACCCCCGCACCTCTGTTCCCTTGTAAGTTCTCCTCGTAACACTCATTCCCTTGTGCACTTGATAACTCACCTGCTCCTCCATCAGGATGTGAGCTTCGCGGCAGCTGGGCTCCTGTGCTGTTCACTGAGGCACCCACCTGCCTGGAAGGGTTCCTGGCACCTATTAGGTGCTCAACAGACATCTGTTGCAGACACCGAGGTGATGTTCCTGGTGCTCGCTGGCCTTGTTCTGGAAACTGCAGCCAGTCTCAACAACGCAAAGGAAACCAGAGGAGCAGGAAGGCCCACAGCGGCGCCCCATCACCTCTGAGCAGATGCTCCTCCTGGGGTGAGCAGTGTGGGGCTCCGGGGCTCGGAGGGAGACCTAGGAGGGGCCGGGACCCACGGTGGAGTCAGGGACTTCCCACAAAGAATCCTCCTCCCAGATGCGGGGGCTGTCCTGCTGTGGGCCCAGCAGGTTTGCTTTCACGCACACCGATGTTTTGCAGACACAGAGGCTGGGACAAAAAGACATTTCCTGTGTGGGAAGGGGCCACAGTAGATTCACAGCCAGAACCCAAAAACTATCCGGCCACTTGCAGATGGCAAGATGTGATAGAGCAGCTAGCGCCGGGGCTCACTAGGCTAATCCTCCACCTGTGGCGCCGGCACTCCGGGTTCTAGTCCCAGTTGGGCGCCGGATTCTGTCCCGGTTGCCCCTCTTGCAGTCCAGCTCTCTGCTGTGGCCCGGGAAGGCAGTGGAGGATGGCCCAAGTGCTTGGGCCCTGCACCTGCATGGGAGACCAGGAGAAGCACCTGGCTCCTGGCTTCGGATTGGCACAGCTTGCCGGCCGTAGTGGTCATTTTGGGGGTGAACCAACGGAAGGAAGACCTTTCTCTCTGTTCTCTCTCTCCCTCTCTCTCTCACTGTCTAACTCTGCCTGTCAAAAAAAAACAAAACAAAACAAAACAAAACAAAAAAAACACTATCCACATATCCACACAGGTATTCCATTTTAAGAGGAAAAAAAAAAAAAGACATCTGTTGCAGACACCGAGGTGATGTTCCTGGTGCTAGCTGGCCTTGTTCTGGAAACTGCAGCCAGTCTCAACAACACGAAGGAAACCAGATGTGATGGAGCAAAATGCAAAATTCTATCTAATCTGGGGCCAGCACTGTGGCATAGCAGGTGAAGCTGCTGCCTGCAGTGCCAGCATCCTATATGGGTGCTGGTTCGAGTCCCAGCTGCTCCATTTCCAATCTAGCTCTTTGCTATGGCCTGGGAAGGCAGTAGAAGATGCCCAAGTCCTTGGGCCCCTGCACCCACATGGGAGACCTGGAGGAAGCTCCTGGATCCTGGCTTTGGATTAGTGCAGCTCTGGCCATTGTGGCCATTGGGGGATGAACCAGCAGATGGAAGACCTCTTTCTCTCTCTCTCTCTCTTTCTGTGTAACTCTGACTTTCAAATAAATAAATAAATCTTTAAAAAAAAAAAAAAAGGTCTATCTAATCTAATTCAGGGAATTCTGAAGACAGCAACCTGCAAATAATTACATATGAAAGGCTGTTGGCTTGGGGAGAAAGACTTTTGAAGAAGACAGGAGAACCGGGAGGGGAAAGGGCGATGTGAGAGAACTACCTTTAGCCTTGGCAGAGGAGAAGGTTTGAAGCAAGCGGGCATCTCTCGCTCATTGGGCTGGGTTAGCTTTCTTTCTTTCTTTTAAAGATTTATTTTTTTTATTTGAAGGCAGAGTTACAGAGAGGCAGAGGCGGGGGGGGGGGGGGGGAGAAAAAAGTCTTCCATCCGCTGGCTCACTCCCCAGATGGCTGCAATGGCCGGAGGCCAGAGCTGAGCCAATTCGAAGCCAGGAGCCAGGAGGCTCTTCCGGGTCTCCCACATGGGTGCAGGGACTCAAGGACTTGGGCCATCTTTTACTCCTTTCCCAGGCCATAGCAGAGAGCTGGAGCAGAAGTGGAGCAGCTGGGTCTCGAACCAGTGCCCATACGGGCTGCCAGCACTGCAGGCGGTGGCTTTACCCGCTCCGCCACAGCGCCGGCCCCTGTGCTAGCTTTCTCTGGGAAACCCTGTAAGGATGGACTTCTGGCCTGTAGGTTCATCTTAAAGACTGGATGAATGGAGAGCTTCAGCAATAGCAGCCAGCACGCACGCGGTACTTCCTGGGTGCCTCCCTGTCCTTAGAGAACCCTGTAGGGCTAAACACGCCCTAGTGCTTGCTCCAGCCTCCCTCCGGTGTGCTGCCTATGACTCAGTTGCCTTGCCTGATAATACTACCTAGCTCACCAGATGACAGTGCCTGGCATAAAACGAGGACCTGATGGCTGGTCACAGATGTTACCTGTGTATAGGTATTACCTGTTATTTCTAAAGGTGCCTTATTTATTTGAAATGCAGAATGACAGAGAAAGAGGAAGAGACAGAGAATCTACATGTTCACTTCCCAAATGGCCACAACAGCCAGGGCTAAGCCAGGGGACTCCAGGAGCCGGAACCTCCATCCGGGTCTCCCACATGCCAGGCAGGGACCCAGTCTGGACGCTCGTCCACTGCTTTCCCAGTGCCCAGTTTTTGGGATGCCAGCATTGCAGGCAAGGGCTTGACCCGCTGTGCCCCAGCGCTGCCTCACTAGAGCTGTCCAGGCCCCCTCTGCCTCTGGGACCTTGTCCTTGTGGACATCACCCACCTGGGACCAGCCCCAGGGGCCTGTCCCCGGGGTTTCATTGAGCTCTAGAATCCACTGTGGGGAAGGAAAGAAGTCTAACCAAGTGCGCAGCGGTTTGCGTCGGGAACTTCGAATTCCTTCCTTCTTGCCCCTGGCTCCTGTCACTCAGGTATTCATTCACAGAAGCTCACAAGCGGCTGTGAGCACCCACCGACCCCAGCCCGCGAGTGCCCTGAGTCCTGCGGGGACCGACAAGACTGCTCTGGCCCGGCCGCGACCTGCTCCTTCCTGCGTCAGGATCCACGCGAGAGGACAAGGCCGGGTGGGGAGGGACGCAGAACTCGCCCTAACACGCGCAGGGAAAGCGGAGAGCAGAGAAGGAGGCAGGCAGGCGAGGCTCAGCAGAGCTACGCGGCATCCCACCCCCTGCCCTCCCAGAACCAGTGGGTCAGACTCTTTTGTCCTCCGGGCGCGGCGGCAGCGAGGGCTAGGGCCGCAGTGGGTTTTAAGCGCCTAGCGCGAGGACTGCCGTGTCTCCAGCCCAGCCCGCAGGCTGGGTTTAGAGGACGTCCCATAGAGGGTGCTGTTTGCCTGACTTTGAACGGAGATGCGCGCAGCAAAGCTCGGGAGCCCCCTACCCGCCCCCAACGTCAGAGGGCCGGCGAAGGTCTGTGCCCCCGCTCGGAGACCCGTGTCACCCAACTTTACCGAAGTGGAACGGAAAGATCTGTGCATCCTGCTCTTCAAGCCCGGCCTCCCCAGTTCGGAGGATGGCTGGGGGCGCTGTTACCTGAGACATTCCCAGGGCCAAACGCCTCGCACACAGGCGGCGTGCACCTGCGCGCGCCCGGGAGGAGCGGCACCGGCATTAGACCCGGCGGCCGCGGAGAAGCGAGGTTCCGGGTGCCGCGCGGAAGGGGCAGGGGCTGCTGTCCTGGTTTGGGCCTAGCCCACCTCCCCGGACGGGAACCTCGGCCTCTCTCGCTACGTCTGCCCGCGAGATGAGCAGCTTTTCCGTTTGTCGCAGTCTAAAGGCGGCTTCCGCGCGGCAGAACTTTGGCCAAGTTTGCACGCGTCCGCCCGGGGCGGGAGAGCTCGCGCCATCCCCGCGAGCACTCAGGCGGGGGCCTCCCTGCTCGCGGCGCGCAGGCGGAGGGCGCGGAACCCGCACAGTCCCCCACACGCATCCCGCCACTTGTGCCGCTGGGGTGAAAACGACCTCCGGGAGTTCTGCCCCGGGCGGGGGATTCAGGCCATGGCCTCCTCCTCGACTTCTGCCTCTCTAATCCCAGTGCAAAACCACCCTGGTTTGACTCGGCCCCGATTTTTGGGTGGTGCAGCGTTTGCGCATTCCGGTAAAGCCGTTCGAAACGACGGCGATGACGGTGATAATTGTTAATGGAAGCTCCGTCGATAGTCCCAGGTTTGCAGAGGAAAAGTAGGGTCCATTCCTACAGAGCAACGTTTGTTGAGACATCGAGATTTGGGGGGAGAGAGTCTGAAAAAACGAAACATACCTGCTTTCCACCTGGGGCCCCCAAAATGATCTCGTCGGCCAATACAGGGCGGCCTGGAATCAGGCGAGGGCTCATCCTAACCAAAGGGAAGGCAGTGCCAAGACCCGGCTGTACCAGGCTTCCCCGGAGCGAGCCCAGTTTGCCCCCTCTTTTCCTATGGTCTCTAGGGAAGGCACCCCCCCCCAACAATTCTGACTTATTTGATGCTTCAATCTATGGTCTGAGATGCCAGCCTCCGGGAGCTGTGTTTAAAGCGAGCGCAGGAGAGTGGCTTCCGCCCAGGTGCGCCCTCGCAGCCCAGTGAGGCTCCCTAGAGACGTGGCGGCCGTCGGGATGTGCTGCGGCTGCCGCGGTCCCGGGCACGGCGGGGGCACGCACGCGGCCGCGCCTTCGGTTCCCAGGGCGCCTATAACGCGTCGGGCAGCCCACCAGCACCTGCAGGAGAGACTGTCGGGAGCTAGTGCTGTCTTCGGGGCCGCAGGCTCGGCGGATCCGCGAGCCCCGAGCCCTGGCGAGCGCAGCCGTCGGTGCGGGAACCCGGCTCTGCCCCAGCAACCCCACCGAGTGACGTGCGGACGTCTGAGGTGCTGCGCGCTCGCGGTGCCGCGCGGGGACGCACGCTCACTCCCGCTCCTGCGGGAAAGCTCACCCTTCGGTTTTCCGGGGCCAAAGGCCAAGGCCACGAGGATTCTTGAGCCCGTGGACGCAGTGCAAGAACTTACAACCCGACCCCCTTCCCACCGGCCAGCCGGCGGACGGAGAACCGAGTTACCCCTCTTCGTGGCCGCGCCCTTCTTAGCCGGCTTTGGGGAAAATGCGGAGGCCGCCGGACCCCAAAGGGTAGGAAAGTGCCGAGTTCGCCGCGGGCCGAGGTCGCGTCCTGACTCCGGGCTGGCGCTGCGTGGCTCTCCAGCCGCGTGGGGGCGGCGGGGCCCTGCCGAGCCCCTGGGGGCGGGGGAGCGGCAGCTGCGAGAGGGAATAACCCTGGGGTGACCCGCGCGGGCCTGGCCCGCCCCTCCCCCCTCCCGCAGGCCCGGCGGCGGGAAGCGGGTCCCCGAGCCACAGTGGGGAGAGGGAGGCGTGGGCTCCGGACTCTCGGCTGCCGGTGCGCGCGGGCCGGGGGCGCAGCCGGCTCCGGGTCCCTCGCTCGCCTCCTGCGCTCGCAGGAGCGCTCCGAGTGCCTCTTTAGCGGGAGCCAATATCCTTTTGTGCTAATAGGCTTGTCCTCATTTGCTGCCTAATTGGACTATATAAAGCCAATAACAGCCGGGCTCTTATAGCCCGAAGCCAAAGCGCCAAAATCCGAGGGAAAGCGAGGAGGGGGCGGTGGCGGAGGCGGCTGCGGGGCCGGGGCTCGGCTGCGCCTTCGGCTGCCTAATCCCATTTGCCATTGTACGCGCCCAATCGCCGTATACTCCCCGCATTTAACTTGGATGACATTTTGATTTCATCATTAGCATCCGGCGCCGGACTGACGCAGCCCCAAGCCGGGGACTGCTCGTGCTGCCTCCTCCCCGGGAGCTGCAGCCGCCGCCGAGCCGCCTCGCTCCCCGGGTGCCGCGGCCGGGCCGCTCCCCGCCCTCCCGCACCCCTCCCCCATGCGAGCCCGCCCCGGCCGGGTCCTCACCCCGCCCTCGCGCCGCTGGATTTGCGCCCGGGGCGGCCCCCGACTTTGCGCCCCGTAGTTGAGTTCCGTTTATGGTCTGATTTCCGGCCGCCCGCCCGCGCACCCGGCCGCCCGCCTGTCCCGCTCCCTCCCTCCCCGGGACCCGGAGGAGAGGGGACCATGCCGGAGCCCGGGCCGGACGCCCCCGGCACCGCCAGCGCGCAGCCCCCTCCGCCGCCGCCGCCGCCCCCGCCTCCTGCGCCCAAGGAGTCCCCGTTCTCCATCAAGAACCTGCTCAACGGAGACCACCACCGGCCGCCCCCTAAGCCGCAGCCGCCCCCACGGACGCTCTTCGCGCCGGCCTCGGCCGCCGCTGCTGCAGCCGCCGCCGCCGCCGCTGCCGCCGCGGCCAAGGGGGCCCTGGAGGGCGCGGCGGGCTTCGCGCTCTCGCAGGTGGGCGACCTGGCTTTCCCCCGCTTTGAGATCCCGGCGCAGCGATTTACCGTGCCCGCGCACTACCTGGAGCGGTCCCCGGCCTGGTGGTACCCCTACACCCTGACCCCCGCCGGCGGCCACCTCCCGCGACCTGAAGGTACCGACCTCTCTTTGAACTTTGGGTGTCTCCCTCCCCCGCGCGCCGGTCGCATCCCCGCCCTGCACTGCTTCCCACCGCAGCCCTGGGACCCCCCCTCCCACGCCCCCCAAGTCCCTCTCCACTTCCCCCGCCCCTGGTCTGCGTCTCCGGCCCGCGGGGCTCGGCTGCGCCGCCCGGGAATCCAATCCCACTTGGTGAGAAAAGAAGTGGAGCTGGAGCCGGGGGCTCAGCGCTTCCCGCGAAAAGTGGTTTTGCGCTAGAAGAGGGAGGCCTGGGGCGGCGGGGGCTGAAGACGCGGCCTGGGAGGAGGGGGTGACCTGGGTGGGCTCGAGCCGAAGGCAGATCTTGCCGCGCGCCCCTGGAGGGAAGCGGCCGCGTCGCCGGCGTCTGCGGGAGCAGGGGCCCCGGGGCGCGGCGCAGCTCGGCGGGCGCAGCCGGCGGATAGGAAGCCCGCGGGAGTGGTGCGGCCTCGCGGCTGGCGCGGGGCTTCGCTCAACTCCGTGTCTGTGCGTGTGCGTGTGTGTGCGCGTCCGTCTGTCTGTCTCCCCAGCCTCGGACAAGGCCCTCCTGCGAGACTCCTCCCCCGCCTCGGGCACCGACCGCGACTCCCCCGAGCCGCTGCTCAAGGCGGACCCCGACCACAAGGAGCTGGACTCCAAGAGCCCGGACGAGATCATTCTGGAGGAAAGCGACTCGGAGGAGGGCAAGAAGGAGGGCGAGGCGGCGCCGGGCGCGGCCGGGGCGAGCGCGGCGGCGGCGGCGGGGACGCCGGGCGCCGAGGACTGGAAGAAGGGCGCCGAGAGCCCGGAGAAGAAGCCCGCGTGCCGCAAGAAGAAGACGCGCACCGTGTTCTCGCGCAGCCAGGTCTTCCAGCTGGAGTCCACCTTCGACATGAAGCGCTACCTGAGCAGCTCGGAGCGCGCCGGCCTGGCCGCGTCGCTGCACCTCACCGAGACGCAGGTCAAGATCTGGTTCCAGAACCGCCGCAACAAGTGGAAGCGGCAGCTGGCGGCCGAGCTGGAGGCGGCCAACCTGAGCCACGCCGCGGCGCAGCGCATCGTGCGGGTGCCCATCCTCTACCACGAGAACTCCGCGGCCGAGGGCGCGGCGGCGGCGGCCGCAGGGGCCCCGGTGCCGGCCAGCCAGCCGCTGCTCACCTTCCCGCACCCAGTCTACTACTCGCACCCGGTGGTCTCGTCCGTGCCGCTGCTCCGGCCGGTCTGAAGCCCGACAGGGGAGGGGGAGGGAGCGCCCGGCCCCCTTCCCGGACCCCGGAGGAGACTGGGCCGGGCCGAGGGCGCCGAGACGTCCAGCGGCCTTCGGGAACCGGGGCTTCGACGCGGCCCGCTGCCCCGGCCTCCCCTCCCCCAATCGGTAGCGTTTTGTAAGTATTTGCAACGCATTTCCGTGCAATTCGTCCCCAATGGATTTGAGGCGCTTCCCCCTCTTACTTTTGATTTCGGGTTCTACTGAGAGAAAGCAGGAGAAAGACAGCATTCCCGGGCGGGTCACAGATTTCGGCTGAAAGCTCTGTACGGTGTGCAGCCCCCCCCCCCAAGTTTGCACTGTGCTGTGGCGTTTTGGTCATATTTTTATAGAAGGAAAATAAGTGCGAAACTCAGATCCCTCTGGCTTATTCATTTTTCCGTACCACTGTTTGCAGAATCCAACGGGAGAAAGCATCGGTAGGGTACCATGTTTGTATCCGCGTTTCTGGGTGTGGTTCTTCCTCTGCTCCCCTACCCCAAGCCAAGTAACCCCTCACTGGGACCCCACCTCCAGAGGCTTTCTCTCTAGGACCTCCCCCGCAGCTGACCCCTGCATCCGACTGGCTTTGGGGCCAGAAGATTTCTATTAAGTATTTAAAGGGAAAGACAAGACTGCCAAACATCAGAACCCAACCCTCCCAACAGGTCCACGCAGGGTTTGATCTGAGTGGTCTTATTTATGAGCAGCATTTATTTGGGGGGATTTCACTTCCTCTGAATTATTGTTGATATTACTGTCATGACTTGGCTCCCTGTTTTGAAAGGATGATTTCAATATTTAAAAAAAAAAAGAACCCGTCATCCGCTCCCCTTGCCTTTTTTTTTTTTCTTTCTGTAACTGTGGTCCCTAGATCTGTGCAATATTGAACAAATTTCCTGAAACCCTGCGCCTCTCTCCATGGAGGGACGCTCATCTTCTCACCGCTTAGTCGCCATCATTCGTTTAGAAAGAGAAGACGAAGCAGGGGGCGGGGGAGGAAGAGGAGGAGGACAGATGCGGTGCTCTGAGGAGTAAGTTAGGCATACTGGAGCGCTTTAAGTGACGGACAATCAATTTAGGAGAATTTTAACTTATTTGATAAATGTACAGATTTCTTGTAAAGTTTGCCCTGCACTGGCAGGGCTCCCGGCTTTGCCACCCTCTCTGTTTCCTTCTGTCTGCTAGGCTACACCTGTTGTTCTGAGAGTTTGTTAACCTTCATCTCTGCCCGGGTTCAGACCCTTTTTAAAAGAGAGAGAAAACCTCACAAAATATTGTTACACTTAATGTTGTCGTGAAATTGAATTAATTAAAAAAAAAAAGCGAAGCCTTTCGTGTTGGCGGAGTGTGTCACTTCGGGCGCTTGTCCCCGGAGCAGGTGTCTCCGGAACGCCTTCCCGGCACGCGCTCCGGCGGCCTCTGCTCAGGCTGAGTCCCATCCCCGGCGGCCTCCGCTGTAATCCGGGAGAAGGCCGAGACAGAGGCCGCTTTGTGCGCCAACGGGGCGCCGTCTCCATAGTGGCTCCCGCAGCGTGGAAGCGCCCGCCCAAAGAGGGAAGGGGTGAGGACCCATGCTCCATCCTGAGAAAGTGAGCAGCGCGAAGCTACAGCCACGAGCGTGCAGACAGCTGGTGTTTCTAAACGGAGGGCTGCGGCCGCCGCTGGGTTACCGATCCACCGTTCCTTCCAGAGCCCAGCACTGCTAGACGGGCATCTCTGAACACTAGTCCGCAGGCCAAGAGCCTGCGGTCGTTCCAGTAGCGCCTGGGGAGGTGGAGGGGACCGAGTGAGCTTATAGTTGCGGGCCTATAGCTAAACCAGGCTGGAAGATACTGGACCGCGAGAGGGCAGCCCTGGGGAACCCAACCCAGCCCCAGGACCGGGACCATGGCTCCCACTTCCAGGTCAGGGTGCTCCCTACCCGGCTTCGAGAGCTGCGGCTCCGCGGGGGCGGTGCGGGCGGGGGGCTGTCCTGTTGCGCCCAGCGCCTGGCAACAGAGGCCGTCTGGCTGGAGTAGCGTCAACAGACAGGACCTTGTACCTTTCTAGCCAGACTCTTCTCTGTCCACCGGCCCCCAACACCTCCAGAGCGGCCACGCTCGGCCTCCCACCACTGTCCGGGCCCAGGAAGTGCCGCACGTGCTGCCGGTCGCGGGCCCGCCCAGCTCTCGGTGAGCAGCCTGCCGAGGCACGGCGTGCCAAGACGGCCTGGAACCGCAGGTCTGCCCCGCAAAGGCAGGTGCTTGAACGGTGCCCCTCGCCAGCCTGGTGTGGCCGCCTGCTGCAAGCTGGGGTGTACCCGCGAACCCCGGTTGAGTACGTGTGGAGCTGAGGAGCCCCAGGGGGCGATGAGGCTAGGGGGACTTGGGCGCGACCACTGGGGAGCGCCTGCACGCGCTTGCTTTTCCTTGCCCGCTGCTTTGCCGGGCTCCTCGAACTCAATCCCGACACGATTAATTCTATGGTGGCCGAAATATCAGTATCGTTTTCTGTTGATGGAAACTGCCTCCAAATAAACCAGCATGCATATCTATGGCAAAATTTTACTCTGGACCCCAGTGAGGACAGACTTCTCTTTATTTCCCTCTGGTTTGGAATAAAAAAAAATGAGGGCATGAGTCGTAAGTGAAAAAATAAACAGGAATTCGGGGTCAAAATATGTTGTGCCTTGTGTTACCTGCAAACAGAGTGATGCCTTTTACTGTTGGCAATACTAACTGTGGGACACGCCAATAACAGCTCATTAAAAATAATGTTGCAACAGCAAACACGGCCTTAGATTTTACAGCCAGCACGCGATGCAATCAAATGCCAAGAAAATACTTCTTTATTTGTTTAGATTCTGGAAAGCGGTTCTTGACTGACCCAGTCTTTACCAAGTCGAGAAATAACTGGTTCTCCATCAACATAGCTTAGCCTGTGTTCTGCTCCCTGCGGCTTCTTTCCCTCTGGTTGGGGAGCCCGGCTGCCCTCCCCAGAGTCCCCCCCACGCCCCTCCCACAGGCACTGGGGGAGGGGAGTGGTGCTGGCTGGCAGCACTGGGAGGCCGGAAGCAGGGCTGGTGGGAAAGGTCCACTTCCCTCGCGACAGGTGGGGGTCATGGTATTTCCCGGTGCAGGAGGAGTGGAGCCAGTGTGCAGGGAGGTGGAGCAGACAACTTGCTCCACTCAGGGAGCATCCTAGGTGTGACTGCAGGCTTTTTGGAAGCCTGGTGTCAGGAGGGGGCAAGGAACCACTTGACGAGACTGTCGCATCCTGAGAGCTGGCTGGGGGCATCTTCATCCTTCACCCAGGATGCCCCTTCCTGCTGCCTCTGCAGGAACCACTCACCAGACGTAGAGGGAGGATGTCGCATGGAATTCTTCCTGGACATTCCATGGGGGAAGCCAGAGCAGCCCGTGTCCTCTATCCAAGGACACTGATCCGGCCGACACCCCTGGGGGGAGCCCAACGATGTCTCTGCCTGGTCTAACTTCAGATCTTCCCCCATCTGTACCCCCAATTAATCTTGAAGTTAGAGCAAGTGATGTGGGCCTCCCCCAAACAGCCACACGTGCAAACAGCACACAGGATACATTCACACTGGACAGAAGCATCACACTCAGACACCCACTCTGGACCGGACACCTGCGGCACCCTCTTCACGGGGCTCCTGGCAGCCCAGCCACATATGTGCTTAGCATCACACTGTGGCGAAGGCGATCCTGGACAGCCAGTTTTCCAACGGTGGGCCCAGGCTAAGGCACCGGGAAGAATCTCGGGAAGGATTTGGCTGCGAGCAGGGTGGCGCTCCCACTTCTGCCGCCGGAAGCTGAATTTCATCCTCCGGCAGGGGTGTCTCGAGTTGGAGCCCCCCCCACCTCGCCACCGCGGACCCTCGAACTCCTACCGCCAGGACTTCACTCCCAGCCGAAGTCCCCGCAGTGCCCGGCTCCGCGGCTCTGAGCGCCTCCCGGCCCTGGGAGAGTGCGGAGCCAGCGTGCGAACTGTTTCTGTTGGCAACACAGATGTATTTCTTTTATTTGGTAGTAAATAGAGCAGATGTGTGTACATCAAACAACAGCAAGACAGATATAAACTGCCCCCTGCCACTGGCGCTCATTCGGAGCCGGGACGCCCCTCGGCAGGCTCCCGGCGCGCCAGAGCCCGAGGCCAAGCCGGGTGAGCCCCAGGGCGCGCGCCTCTCCTCGCTGGCGAGGCTGAAGGTAGAGCCGAGGGAAGGAGGCGGAGGCGGAGGCGGAAAGGTCGGTGGGATTCGCTTTCTCTTCCGCGACTGCGTCAGCTAGAGCCCGGGCAATGGGAGGAGGGGGTCTGAGCCCTGGGGCCCGAAGGGCTGCGCCGCCAGCTACCTTCAAGCGCTTTGAAGAGGCCTCGCGATACGGGGGTGATGAGCACGCACCCCTGCTTCCGCCCCTCTGCGAGCGTGGAGCAGCTGCACTCCACTCGAGAGGGCGACCGTGGGGCCGGAGCCTTTGCCGGTCGCAACACTGGCCGCCTCCAGGACACCATTGTGCCCTACCTCTCCGGATCTTCGAGTCCTGGGGTTCAGGGACCCAGCCCGGGGACCTCTCTGTTAATGCTCCAAATTTAGCCGTTAGGAAAAAGACCCCTCTACTGGGCCTCGAGCCTCAAGAAATCACTGTTTGGGGTCCAAAGTGCAACCAGGCAGACCTTGGGGACAACGTTCGTCCTAGCACGTACACGTGGCCCCCCTAGAGCCCTGGGCGCGACTCCTCCTCTCCGCTGCCCGCCCACTCGCAGCCCGCCACCTCGCCCCGCCTGCAGGTCCTCCCCGGCTTTCGGGTGCCGGGGTCCCTAGCGCCTGGACGTGCGCGCCTGGAAATGTGCACGCCAGTGTGTGCGCGCATGCGCCCATCTGGGTGTGCAGTATGCTTGATGTTGACCTTTTGACCCTCAGTGGGGGCGTCGAGGGGTGAAGAGATGAAAGGGCCGCGGAGACGACTGGGCCGAGTGTAGTTCTTGGCACTGCCGGGCGCCTCTATGATAGGGATTCTGGGTTGAGATTTGGGCTGCTTGTACCCCGGCGGTTCCCTCCTGCACAAGTATGCCGAAGGCGTCGGGGGTGCGGAGAGCTGCGGCGCCCAGAGGGCAACCCTGCCCTAGAGCCTCGCCGAGGAGTCCGCCCCACGTTTCCACCTGCGGGACGCAGACCGCCTGAGCGTCGGCAGGTGTGGGAGCTGAAGGCTGCAGAGTTCTGAGCCGGGCGCTCTGCTCGCAGTCGCACGGATCCCTCGCTTGGCAGCTGCGCCTCCGGGATGGACTGCCGGAAGTCTGTGTAGCTGGGGTTCCGAAAGGATCCCTTCGCGTTTCTGAGAGGAAGAGCCGGGCAGCCAGAGCGAGAGCGCGCTCTCGCACCCATCGCTGAGGCTGGAGCAGCAAGGTGGAGTCACCTGGCCGGCTTCACCCCCGCGCCGATGTCTTCAAGAAATATAAAGAATCCCCTTCTCCCCTGAGCGCCTTCTCCGCCCTCGCCCCCCTTGGTGATGGAGTGCACGCATCAGATTTTCATCAAAGTTCTATTAAGTGAAACATAGGTTGCAGGGCACCCTTTGATTGAAACAGTTTAAATTTTAATTGTGTTTTTAATTTGACATATAGTTGCAGAAAGGAATGACACTGCGTCGCCAAGGGGCGGTCGATTTTCTTAATTTCTCCCAGAGGAATTGATGAGTCTATCAGGCCACTAGATTGGAAACCCATTAAAGCTCTCTGGTTAGGCTGTTAATTGGAACTTGATGGATGGGGGGGGGGGGTGTCGGGACTCGGCTATGCTGATCCAATCTTCATGACTTTCTGTTTTCCAATAAATTACACAATTCATTCCCAGCCACAGATTACATAAATTGTACACCTCTGGGGCGCTCTCTTTCAAATAGGGAGCCCTTTTCCCCAAAAGCCCATTGCGAGATGTCATTTGCACCAACGAAGGAACAGCAGAGACTCTTGAATGAAAATCGAAACATAATCAACGTTTATACTTAGAAAATTTATTGAGATCATTTTCTCTGGTATTTCCTTATTTTAAAGTTCGGACGCGCCATATATCATAATCCACTCGCGTTAGGTGTGGGGGGGGGCAGGCTGTGTTTAATATTTATCGAAGCTTGATTCCAAGATCAAACTTGTTTATGACTTCATCTGTCATTTGGAGGAAGCCTTCTTCCACGGGCATCCGGCTCAGCCAGCCTATTTCCCAACCGCCGCCGAGCACCCGGGATCAATTTTTATTAGGCGCTTCGGCAAGTTTGCTCGGGGCCGCTTCACTGGTGAGCAGTGGCGTCTTGGGACCTAAACTTTAAGCGCTCCTTCACAAAGTTTATCTTTCCTGGACCCCCGTTAAGCCCCGTTCCTAGGGGGCCGGGTCGAGGGGTGGCAGGCAGGGGAGGGGTAGCCTTCCCGGGTGTGGCCGTTCAGCAGACAGGGTAGGGGGTGGGCAGCTTGAGGAGGGGCGTAGGGTCGCCAGATTGTCGCTCTGCGGGACTGAGCGTGGCGGGGTCTATGCGGGTTCCTGGAAGTAGAGGTTCCCGGGAGTCAGCTTTGCAGCTGGGCCCAGGAGAGGGCGTCTGGCCTCTGCGCACTTAGCGAAGTCTCTGGGACCCCCACATGTGTCCGAAGAGGGTGGAGAGGGAAGGTCTTAGCGCCCCCCCCCCCCCCCCCCCCCCCGCCCGGGATTGTCCCCACCGTCGGTGCTCCAGCCGTCGGAGCCCCTGCAGGGGACCCAGGAGAGCCGCATCCCGTCGGCCGAAAAGCTGGTCCCTGCCCCCGCCCTGCGCCCGCCGCCGCCGCCACCTGCCTGGCTCAGGGCGGGGTGTGCGTGACGCGGAGGGAATGTGAGCGCGTAAGCGTTAGTGCAGGTGCGTGCGGGCAGCTAGGAGAGCGCACAACCGGAGACCTGGAGGTGTGGGCGAGGAGGCGGCGCCTCGGTGTAGACCGGACCCCCGATGGGGGAGGGAGACTGGGGTGGCGGAATACGAGGCCACAGGGCGCCTGCTGACTCCCCACGCTGCCTCTGCGGAGAGGCTGGAAGGGTCACAGTTTCCTGGCTTGGACTTCTCTGGCTCGGAGGTCCGGCAGCCGCCGCGGACGCCTCAGGCTCCACGCGCACGCCATCGCTTGCCGTCCCGGGATACCGCGGGCCCTTAGAATCCCTCCCCCTGCACCTGTCCCTCAAGTTCCCAAGGGCGTGGGACTGGCGGAGGAACAACCTTGAGCACCAATCTTGCGTTCTCTGCCAGGGCCGCCCACATTTTTTCGCCTCGTGCCTGGGTTACCTCTCCTGTTCATGGCGGGGGGAGATATAAAGTGAAGAAAGACGGGGGCTTCCAGCACGTTCCCGCACCCAGTATTAATTAGCATCTCAGGAAGTTCCACCCCTTGACCCGGACTGTCTTCTTCCCCGGCTGGGTGCCCGCGAGAGGCCGCGGTTTGTTGGCGCGGGCGTCGGACACGGCTTTTCCAGAGCCTCCGCCCGCACCTCCAGCCGCGCGGGAGCGCGCCGGCCCCGCTGCGCCAAGGCCCGGGAGCCCGCGCCGCGGCCGCGGGGAGCAAGACGCACAAATTGTATTTCAGCGCCGGGTCCTTCCGGGTTAATGAGCTGACACCATGATTAAAGCTGACCATTTGTAATGTGTCTCGACCCCGCCGCCGAGCTCTGAAGAGGTTAATGCGGTGACGGAGGCCGGCACCTGCCCCTCGCCGGCCTCCCGGGCCTCGGCGCACGGCCTCTGGCCCCCGCCCCTCGCCCGGCCCTGCCCCGGCTGCGCCGCCGACTCCTAATCAATTAGCCCATTAAGGAGCCCTTGGAGGAGTTAAGTAGGGGGAGATCTGCGGCAGGGCCGCCGTCGGTAACTCACCGCGGCTAATGATATTATAAGCGCGTTACTCAATACCCCGGGCGCTTCGCGGGCGAGGCAGGAACCGCGCCGTCGCGGGGCCGCAGTGCCTGGATCTTCGCGGCACTGATTCGGGGGTGCCCCCTGCCCACAGGCTGCATTTGGGAGCGCCGCAGAGACAGGGTCCGCCCCAGGGACGGGGTTGGGGTGGCTCAGAGGCGCCTCGCGCCTCGCCTCGCCTTCGTGCCCGTGGGGGTGGTGTAGACGACTGTAGCCCCACACCGTGACTTTTTTGCCTGCGCGCTGGGATGATTCCAAATCAGGAAACAGTTGACCTGGAACTGAAGGGGCCAGAGCCAGGGCTCATAAGACGGCCGTGGGAGCAGAGGAAGGAGCCATGGCTTATTGCGCTCCTCCGGGTGCCTGGCTCCAGCCTGGGCACCTGACCCTCCCAACAGCCTCGGCGACACAGGCATCGCTGCGCCCAATTTCAGGAACGAGGAGACGGGGGCTCATAGGGTCTGTTTCCCGCACAAGGGCACTCTACCCTACTCTAAAACCGCGTCCGGCCACCACTTCTCGCACTCCTCGGGAGCAACGCGCCTCTCGTCTGCAGCAACTCCGGGACCTCTGCTCTTTACTGAAACATGGGGTTCATCTGTGCCTCGGGAGGGCGGCCGGAGGGCGCCCTCCCAGCGCTGCTGGCTTCGCAGCGCTTTCCCCTCCCACGGGAGGCGATGCTCAGAGCCGGAGAAAGGGGAGGCGCTAGGGAACGCGTTTCACCCACGCGCGAGGGCAGAGGCTTGTGCAGGTTCATGCAATGGGTCAATGGCGGTGCTAAGACCTGAGCCAGGGCCTCAAGACCCCAGGTCTAGGGCTTCCGCCTCACTCCGCAAAGACCGTGTAGCCCTGTTGGGCCTGTGTCGGGGCGGGGTCTGTGCCCTGGATGGGCACACCTGGTGTGCGCAGGACGGCAGCCCGCCATACTCCTGGAGAGAGCGCGTTAGTTTGGGGACACGAGCCTGCAAACCGCCCATCCCCACGCGGGGCCGCCGGGCCTGGCAGGATAGAGGGCTGCGCAAAGGGATAGGGGCGGGGAGCAGCCCGTGGAAGACCCTCGGAGGCGCGAGGACTCCTCGCCTGGCGAGGCGTCGGGTGGCTCCTGCCCGGAGCCCAGCACTGCCCTGACCCCTGGAGACGGCCGGGGGTCGAGCTGCAGCAGAGGCCAGGGACCCGGGCTGGAATCTGAGCTTCTTTCGGCCCCGGCCGCCCCCCGGCTGGGCAGCGGGTGCCCGCTGGGCTTTCCGCGCGCTCGGGGGGCGCACGGGCGCCGCACGCCGGGCCGGGCCTTTTTGAAATTTTCCGGGGCCGCTCGGCGGCGCTGCGATTGGCCGCGCTCTGGTAACCTCTATGCAAATGAGGCCGCGCCGCCTCCGCGCTGCCCGAGACCCGCGGAGCCGGCTGGCGAGTAAGGGGCATTCGCACCCGGGCTGGGCGGGCGCACCCAGAGCCGGGCGGGCAGGGACCCCCGCCAAACATCCGGTGCCCGCGTGCCCCCCGCGCGGAGGGGACGCCTCGCCGGCCTTGACGCCCCCTCCTCCTGGCTTCCCTACCCCGCCCCTCCCCGCCGCCTCTCTGCACCACCTTCCACCCGCATCGTGTCTAAAGGGAGTTCTTGGTTTCCTCCGATTTCTTATGAACCCAGGATGGGCAGCAAGGAAGATGCGGGCAAGGGGTGTCCGGCGGCCGGTGGCGTCTCCAGCTTCACCATCCAGTCCATCCTGGGCGGGGGCCCTTCGCAGACGCCGCGGGAGCCGGCTGGCTGGCCGGCCCGGAAGCGCAGCCTGTCAGTGTCCTCGGAGGAGGAGGAGCCGGACGACGGCTGGAAGGCGCCGGCCTGCTTCTGCCCAGACCCGCACGGCCCCAAGGAGCCGGGCCCCAAGCACCACCCCCCCATCCCTTTTCCTTGCCTGGGTAAGGACTGCACGTCGCCGGCCGGCCGCGAGTACGCGCGAGGAGCGGGAGGCAGCACGCCCCGCCAAGACTTCCGCGCGCGGCCCCCTCGGGTCAGAGCTGCGGCCGCTGGGGGTTCCGGGCCCAGGAGAGGGGGCGCGCGCGCGCCGTGGGGTCAGCTGGCCCCCAGGCTCTGGGGAGGAAGTGGGGAGCACAGGCCCCGTGCGCCGCGGGCGAGTTGGGGAAGGCTGGATTGGAGGGAGGCTGGATCGCAGCGGGCCGGGCACCCCGTCGGCCCAACTCGCGGCTCTGCCCTCGTTCCCTTTGCGCATCCGATGCTTCCTTTGCAGACACGAGGTGTGCAGCTCGGGTCTGGGCGTTCTCTCTCTTTCTCTCTCTCTCTCTCTCTCTGTCCCTCTAATGAGCACTCTGCGGTGACCGTGACAACTGTGCGGTTCAGAGCCTTCTCTTTACCTCCGAGAAGGAGAACTCCACGTTAGCCCTTCGCGTGATTTCCAAACAAACGGCCTGTGAAATGAGGCCGCCCTATGAGCCTCGAGAACCGGCCGCTCGGTGGTTCCAGGGCGCAGTCGCTTTTGGAAATGATGCTCGCGTCCCCCTCCCGACCTCCTCCCCCTCTTGCCATAGAGGTGTGCGCACGGAGACCCCAGACTCTCAGTCACTCAGTTCTCCCGTAGCTTTTTATTTTTTTAAAGGTCAGGGGTTGGAGCTTCAGGTGCTCGCAAGAGGGAGGGGAGGATGGGGGTCCCTAAGCCAGGACCGAGCCTGCGGACGGCTGCCATCCCCCTGGTCTCCAGGGCGCCCCAAGTCCATGCCTTGCTTTCTGTTCTCGCTCCCCAGGTACCCCGAAGGGCAACGGAGGCGCGGGGCCGGCGGGCTCGGAGCGCACGCCTTTCCTCTCTCCGTCGCCCCCGGACTTTAAGGAGGAGAAAGAGAGGCTGTTGCCCGCGGGCTCGCCCTCCCCCGGGCCCGAGCGGCCGCGGGACGGCGGCGGCGAGCGGCAGGCGGGCGCGGCCAAGAAGAAGACGCGCACCGTGTTCTCGCGCAGCCAGGTGTACCAGCTGGAGTCCACCTTCGACATGAAGCGCTACCTGAGCAGCTCGGAGCGCGCCTGCCTCGCCTCCAGTCTGCAGCTCACCGAGACGCAGGTCAAGACTTGGTTCCAGAACCGCCGCAACAAGTGGAAGCGGCAGCTCTCGGCCGAGCTGGAGGCGGCCAACATGGCGCACGCGTCGGCGCAGACTCTGGTGGGCATGCCGCTCGTGTTCCGGGACAGCTCGCTGCTGCGCGTGCCGGTGCCGCGCTCGCTCGCCTTCCCGGCGCCGCTCTACTACCCGGGCGGCGGCCTCTCGGCCCTGCCGCTCTACAACCTGTACAACAAGCTGGACTACTGACCCGGCTCGAGCTGCCAGAGACGTGAAGAAATACACCATGTGTATTCGTTAGCTCTTATTTATGGCCTCCGTCCTGCTTTTTTGTTTTCATCCTTTCGGGTATTTATCGGCGTCCCGCGAGCCGGATCGCCTGCTTGCTACCCAGCCCAAACCAATGCGCTTTGAAAGCCCACCTCGGAGGGGGATGCCCTCGGGTGGGCGGTGGTGGCGGTGGGAAAGGGGGTCTTGGCCAAGTCGGAACGCCGGCAGCACCCGGTGCCCACCTCCCCGCCCCCGTAGGCACACCTGTACATATGCACCTGCACGCGCGCTCCGCCGCGCCAGGCCCTCGGGGCTTCGGACAACTCTCTAACCGCCTCTCATCCTGAGGATGGGTAGGGGCGAAAGGGGTAAGAGTCCAGATCTGTAAATATTTTTAAAGAGGAAAAAAAATAAAACGTTTTAAACATCGTTGTTAACTTCGGAAGGGCTTTTTGCCCGGCACGCTGCCACGCGCAAAGTTTTCTCCCCGTTCCGTGGAAAGCCTTGCGGGCTGCTGGCTGGAAACACGTGCGAATGGGGCCGGGGCCAAGGGGTAAAGGTCGGGACCTTGGCGCCGCCCAGGCGGCACGTGGCCGGAGCTTCGTTCCCTTTCCAACCCCTTGTCGGTGCCTCTGAGCCCGGCGCGGGCTGGGGCGCACCCCGGCTGGAGTCAGACAAAAGCGGGGAGGCAGGCCTCGCCGCTGGAGCGGGTGCCTTCCCGGAACGAGCTTGGCCGAAGCAGGGCACCGCCGGACGTGGCGCAGGCTGGGCCGCGCGTCTCCTCTCCGAGCGCGGAGGGCTAGCGGTGGCGCTGCCTGCACCCAGCGAGTCATCCCCCAGGGCTCGCCGCGAACCTTGGCGCCACCGGCTTGCAGCCGCACCGCGCTCCGCAGCTGGTGCCGCGGCCGCGCGTCCCGCCCCAAGCGGGAATGGGCGCCGCAAGGCCGCACTTCGGCCCAGAAGGGTTCCCAGGCCCAAGACCAGGCGAGGCAAGATCTGGAGGCACAGGCGCTTCCGAACCGCACTCACTGGTTTTTGTTAGCGGTTTGCATTGTGCGTGGCTCAATGACCGGGTCACGGGGCAGCGGCCGGCCACTTGCTCCGAATGGATGCGTGGCGCGCGGGGCGGGGAGGGCGCCGCGCGCGGAGAACGGCTGCGGGACAGCAGTGCACGTAGTCTGCGGTCCTTCTGCTTAGGTCGCAGCCACCTGTTTCTCGGGAAACATCGGAAAGGCGAGCCTGGGCTTGTAGGAGGCTGCTGGTTTGGCACGGGGCGGGCGTGGGGGGGGGGGTGGCGAGCGGAGTCTGTGCGAGGGAGCCGGAGACCCCAGAGGGCCGCAGCACCCAGGCCGGCCCCCACCCTCCAGAGGGGAAACATGGGAAGGAGAGACTTCTCCTGGAGAGAGATCGAAATCACTACGTTTTCTGAAAATCCCAACCGAGTATCTGCAGACCGAGCGACATGCAGTGTTAGTGGGAAGTGCTTGGCCCAAAAGCCCCAATCTGATATTGTCCAGTGTAAGATTTTTTTTCCCTCCTTGTATTCGACTTCATAAAGATCACGATCTATTCCAAGGTGACGTCAGAAGGAAGTTAGTGAGAGCTAACTGCCGACACTAGGTTGGTTCAGCTGCATTTATTTCATTTCAGCGAGTTCACGCCAATATTGACTGAGCCCTGGAACCCGGGAGAGCCGAGGCTAACCACTGGGCAGTGGGAGGGAAGCCGGCAGCGGCGCTGGGCCTGTTTGCTTCCGATTTATTATGGGCACTACTTTATTTCAATGGTCTCTCTCTCCAGATGACTCTCTTTAAATGATTTCTCTCTAACTTTGCTGCTTGAATATTCCACGCAGACACGATCAAATTACTTCCGAGGAGCTACGTGCAGAGGGTTAGTCCGTCCCTGTCAGTTTTCGTCTGCATTTCAATATGTTGCAGTTTTTTTTTTTTTTAATGAGATGATGGTTTTAACAGCGTTGGATCACTGTGTTCCTAGGTTCACTTCTCTTATAGGAAGTGGCCATGTTAGTCACTGTGTGCATTTAATCACTGTTTTGCCCTTAACATTTGAGGGAATGTCGCTTACAGTTTGTCAAAATGTGTATATTTCACTCTTTTTTTTACTAATCCAAAATTGCCAATTAAAGGTGACCCAATAGTGTAATTAGTTTTTAGGAATTCCTTTCTCTTAGAGATAACTAAATATTGCACACACACACACACACACACACAGGACGTTGCATTTGGATTTAAAATGCGGTTCAAGACCACACTGTTGCCGGATTTCCCTTCTCAAGACTATCAATTCATTTGAATAATCAGCAAAAATCGTCAGCCTGCTTTCAGGCTCTGAACTGGATTTAAAAGATTGACGTTTCTTAGAACTCAAATGGAGTCCGGCTGCAACCGCGTGCCCGGAGGGACCTGAATCATGCACACACTGGCTAATGAAATACACTTGGATTTTATTAGTGGGTAATTCATGCTCCACATCGCGAAACACTGATGGAATTAAACAAACAACCGAGAGAGGGAACCAAATGACTCAGGAGATAAGGTTATTTAGCTAAAGTTAGAATGGAAATCAGGCGCTGCGTTGTAAAATCCAGAACTCGCGGAGAGAAGGGGGTGGAGAACCCAGGGTGAGGACTGGACAGGACGAGGGCCGGCCGAGGCCGTGACGTCACCGCCCCGCAGAAGCGGGGTGCTCGTGTGTGTTCGCCTTGTCAGGCTCAGCTCTGCGTGTGTGGACGCCCAGCTCTGCGTGTGTGGACGCCCAGGGCTCGGGGCGCTTTTCTTACTAAAGCGCCTTCCCAGCTAAACGCAGTAGCCTTGCGCTCCGGACAGAATCACACAACAAAGCAAGTTTTCTTTACAAAAGGCAGCAAAAGGCGAGATTCTGGATGGACTGACCCGAAAGGTGTCGCGGAGCCCTGATGAGCGGGACCCAGTGACGGCGCTCTCCTGCGCATCAGTCGTTTCTCAGTCCCTGGGCGCCGGTTCGGGAGGAACCTGGGGGGGCACGGCCGGACCCTGCAGTGGAGGGGCGTCGCTCTGAGGGCAGGGGGTGGTCTGCGTCAATGCAGGCTTCCCCAGCCCCTGCCCAGGCCTGGCACCCAGCGCAGCTCAGCGAGTGCGCGCAGAGAGGTGACTTGGATAAATAAGGACGGGTTCTTAGGGAGAGATCGGCAGTACTTAAGGCGGTCAGGGGTAGAAAGTCCAGGATTATGGAAAACGAGCAAAATAGCGCAGCCAGTTAGAGCAAACACTCCCGCTGCATACCAGTTTTGGCTACTTTATGGGTGTATATGCGTCTAGGGGAGCAGAGAATAATTTAACTTCAAAGGAGTATGGACCACAACGGAATTCTAGTGCCTGAGAGCTAGAGAGGCGAGGGTGCCGCGCGCAGAGCCTGAGAAAGCATCTTTCCCGCCTACTCTTCAGGGCACCAGCAAAGGGTCCGGCCCCAGGGAGACTACATCTCCCAGCGTGCTGCACTCGGGCGTAGACGGGCGTCAACGAGGTCTTGGCGCGATGCTTCCTGGGAGTTGTAGTTTTCATTCGATCAGCAGGAGCACGGGTCCCTCAGCGCTGTGGGCAAAGTGAGACCACGTGATCGGAAAAGCGGCGGTTTCCCTTTGAGCCGGAACAGGATGAGTGCGCGGGACGACGCCACAGCGGAGCGGACCAATCACCTGCCTCGCCCGAGACGTTGGCGTTTGAAATCAGCCAATGGGAGGCCTGCTCTGGAGCTTCCTCTCCGCCTCCTTCGCTCAGCCCGCGAGTGCTCTGAGGGAAGCGAGTAGGCGGTGGCGGCGAGCGGCGGGCGGTGGCGACGTTGATTTTGAAGGGAATCCACGGTACGCGGGAGAGAGGCGGGCTCTGCGGGGATCCCTCAGGCTCGCAGCCCGCGGGGTCTTACACCGGAGAGGCTCTCTCGTCGTTTCTCCTTTGTTTTAGGCTCTCCGGGGGGACGGGCCTCGGAGGGGGGGAAGGGACGCCTGGGTCGTGGGCCGGGGCGGCGGGCCGGGCCGCGGGCTGGAGCTGCGGGGCCGGGGCGGCGGCGTGGACGCGGCCGGGGCGGGCCGGGCGCGCGCGCGGGTCGGGGAGGGCGTGGGGCCCGCGCGTGGCGGGCGCCGGCTCTGCGCAGGCGCGGACTCCTCGCCGCCCCTCCCCGTGGGCGCGCGCGGACCGCGACCCCGCGGAGCCCCCGGGGACTGACCGGCGGCGTGTTGTGCGTGCAGATGACCGGTTCCAACGAGTTCAAGCTGAACCAGCCGCCCGAGGACGGCATCTCCTCGGTGAAGTTCAGCCCCAACACCTCCCAGTTCCTGCTGGTGTCCTCGTGGGACACGTCCGTGCGCCTCTACGATGTGCCCGCCAACTCCATGCGGCTCAAGTACCAGCACACGGGCGCCGTGCTGGACTGCGCCTTCTACGTAGGTGCCCTGGGGCGGGGGCATGGGCGTGGGCGTGGGCGTGGGGGGGTCCCAGGGCGAGACGCCTCGGGCCCGCCCCCGTGGTCGTTAGCACGTCTGAAGTGGGTCTTCCGTGTCAAGTGCAGGCTCGCGGCGCAGAGTTCGGTGTGAAAGTCGCCGCCGGACAGGCTGGGCTGTTGGGAAAGCGGGCCGGTTTGCGCTCGGCCGGCGTGGCTTGCCCGTTACTGCCGTTTGCTGGCATGGTTTTGCCGATCCCTGAACTGTGTGGTTTGTCTGTCTGCCCCGTGGGTGTCGCTGAGAGCCTCAGCGGGACGCTTTGGTGTGGAAGGGAGGGTTTTGGAAGGATCGCTGCAGCTCCGTGAGTTGTAACGGGTTCGGAACTTTGTTTTCTAGGATCCAACGCATGCCTGGAGTGGGGGGTTAGATCATCAGTTGAAAATGCATGATTTGAACACTGATCAAGGTACTGCGACCACATTTTACCGCTTTGTTTTCTTCGCTCATTTATTAGGGTGTAAATGTGTATTTGGGGAGAATAGAGCCTGAATTGCTTTAGTTAGATGCAGGTAGAAGTGGCCTAAATTTAAGGATTTTTTGTTTTTGTTGTTAAATGGTAGCCATTAAATTATCACAAAACATGCCTGTTATTTTTATAATAAAACTCGGTACAATCACATTGCCAAGTGTTCATGGAAGTGACTCATGTGTCCTTGCCCTTCTTGTTCTTAGACAAGGCCTGGATCCTGTGTATTTGTCATTAGGCGTTTCCCGGACAGTGCTGATGGTTCAGAGTTTTCTTTTCAGAAGCTAATTCAGTTTAAACTACAAAAAGATAGGCTTTTAAAAATCAGTGCTATAAAATAGCAAATCATGTCTATATCAACCCAGCTGGTATACTTATTTAGCAGTATGTTTCAGTTGCATTTTTATTGAACAAATGATGACACATTTTATGTAAGTAATTCCTTAGAGGCCTAGTATGAAATGACTTACCTAAATTTTTATGGTGACGTTGGGGCAGAATAGATATCAGAACGGAAACCAAGTGCAAAGAAGTTTCTACTGAGAGTTTATTTTTATGTACATTAGATACAGATACTCTGGGAAGAGATGGTCGGTCACAGACGTTGAACCAGATAGAAGAGTTGGACGGTGGGAAGACAGATGGAAGATGCACACATTTGGTCAAAAAAAACCCAATCATAAGAGATTTTTGCATGAAAGCTACTTATGTGACAATTACGGATGTTTGGTTCTGTATGCCAGTAGCCTAAATCATAAGTTAGTGTGAAGGTTAGGTCCTGTTTGCTTGAGAACTTGGGAAAAACTCTGAAAAGCAAACTTAGAAGATGATTTTCAGAGTTATAGGCTGTAACTTGAGGAAACTGGCTGTTTACTCTCTGAGGATCATCCCTAAACTTTATGAAATACTCTTCTGTTTAAATGATAGGTTTTTTTGAATAAGGGAAAGTTTCTGATTGAAGGTCAAGACCACATAGTGTTCATTCTGGTGTCCTTAGCAGGTAGCACAGATACTGGCACATGAGAGGTATTTAGTAGATGTTGAATGAGTAAATGAGATGGTTGAAATTGAAAGGAAAGTAATTGGGTATTGGGAGCTTGACCTGCCATGAAAACCAAGTGTAGTAATCACCAAGACTTAACCCCCAAGCTCTCCTAATCCTGTAACCGTGTAAGTCAGTCTCTGAAGCATTGGTTTAATGTTCAGGATAAGTGTTGTCGCAACAGAAGACCAGAGTCATCATTTGTTCCTTGAGCAGGTGTTGAGCACTTAGTATGTACCAGACCATGGGCTAGAGTCAGGCAGAGGTACAGAGCTAAATGAGGTTTCTCATACGAAATCTAGACTCAGATGAGGCAAATAGCAGCCACGCCACCATATAATCTGAAATTCAGTGTATCCTGGATGCGTGCCGCGCTGTGAACTCCACGGTGAATGGGGGAATGGAGAACTTGGTGGTTATGAAGAGATTTTTCTGTATGCCCCCCTTTCCACGGAGTTATGAAGCTGATCGATTCCAGTTGAGTGAATGTTGCCTTTACTTGTTCATTTGAAGAATCTTTGTTTAGCTGATGAGGTAGTAAAACTAGGTGTTCTCCCCTTTTCTCTTTCTTTTTTGTTTAATAGAAAATCTTGTTGGAACCCATGATGCTCCCATCAGATGTGTTGAGTACTGTCCAGAAGTGAATGTGATGGTTACTGGAAGTTGGGATCAGACAGTTAAACTGTGGGATCCGAGAACTCCGTGTAATGCTGGGACCTTCTCGCAGCCTGAAAAGGTAGGTCTTTGCATATACTTACTGCAGGAATTACAGGCCTTGGGGTGATTTGTCTTATTGTGCTTTTCATGAATATTCAGATTTAGAGGTTGAGAATCAACAAAGTCGGTTTTATAAACATAGCTATAAAGAAATGCTTTAGTGGAAAGAAAAGTTTGCTTTCGGATTTCGATAAACGTCCTTGGTGTCAGTTATTGCAGTGGGAGTGCTGGTGTAAATGAGCTTGCTTCCCATCTCAGCACTGGGGAGAAGTCATGTAGCACACGCTGTCTTCAGTTGGCTTTGACATGCCCAAGCCGGAAAATGGGACAGAGCCTCACCATTTCCATTTGTGACCTGAGGTTTCATTTGAGTTGTTGTTCAGAGAGCAAAATGGGGTATTTCTCATGAGAAAAGTATTATGTGTTACCTGGCTTTTACTGTTTGTGTGTTTATCTGTTTTTTAATATTGACAGATGTAGTTTGAAGGCTTAGTGAAGGAAGCTTTGGAAAACTAACATTGTGTATTGTTGTAACCTTTTGATCTGTGAGATGAAGTGTAATTGAGCGTGCTTGCTGTGTTCTCATCAGACTTTATCAGGTGGTAGTTAATTTTAATGATTGACTGCTTTAGCAGTTTAAAAGTATCCTTCACTTGAGTCTGTTTCCTTGGTGTGCATATACTATTCAGTTCCTGTTAGCCATCGTTGTATACAGGAGTGCATCCAAAGAGCCATTATTTTTGTCACATCACAGTCGGATCTTCTACTGGCAAGACCTTTGTTCAGAATAAAATAATTGCATTGTTTCTAGTTTTGATTTATGGTTGTGTGTAACATGTTAAGAGCTGTGATAAATTGCTGACAGAATATCATATAATGGACAGCCACACTGAATCAAGCTGCTTATTGGTTCAGCAAGGTTCATTATGTCACTTTTTTTAATACTTTTTTTGATAAATGTATATACCTAGTCAGTAGCATGACAGTGGTTTCACTTGATTTACGATCAGTGGGGATAGAAAGCACCGTGAGAAGCTTGTGTGTCACCTGTATAGTAAAGATTTAAGATAAAATTCCCGATACGATTGTACCATTATAAATTGATCTTTTTTTTGATTATTTTAAAGTCCGCTACTTTATACATCTTAGATTTTCATTTTTTTGGTAAACACTTTGTTTTCTGGATAAATTTTACATTTTTAATTTAAATCTGCTTGTATTTGTTTTAAATCTTTTTAAATTCCTTATTTTTCCTTTGGTCACATTATTGTTGAATTTTGAGGCCAATATGTAGAGACTCTTGGGACATTGCACTGTTACCCAAACGTGATGGGCTGATGGTCTGTCGTTAGCTTACGTGATCATTAACCATGTGGTTTAATAACTGAATGTTACAGAGATGTCATGGGGCCTCTAAATTTTTTATAGCAATTCTTGAGGTTTGGAAATAATTATATCAGATTAAATTAAAATTGAGAATAATAATCACATTTAAGGATCTAAAATCTAGATTTAAAGATACTATTTAGTATCATCAGGAAGATTTTTTTTTTTTTTTTGCCATTCTTTTTTTGAATTTGCTACCTCTGTTTGGCTTCCAGGTAGCTTTATATTTGCAAATAAACCACGAAATATCTGCTTGTAGGAAATTCTGAAATGTGTTAAAAGGGATGCTTAAAGCAGATTTAATAGTATTTAATGGTAGTATAGTGAGGAGGAGGAGGCAATTTTAAGGGATAAAATGCTTTTTGAATTTTTCTCTAAAGATGAACTTCTGTCTTGAATATTTAGTATTATATCAGTACTGAAGAATTTGCTTTGCCATATGACAGACCATTGTCCTTGTCTTTCAATTTTGAGTTTGTATGCTACTCAAAGCAGCCAATCAGCTAATTAAAGATGGTTCCCTCTTCCTGCAATGCCCTATTTATTCAGTATAACAGCTGGAGAAAAATCAAGGTTTTAAGAGTTGCAAAATAATACCCCCTTCAAAAAATAGTTGTGGAAAATGAACTTTGAAATTGATTACTTTTTTATTGAAAGGTATTTCGAATAATTTTGTGGCTTTATTGTCTCATTTTTGAGTGGTGTTTTGTTTCTACTTTTGTACTGTCTAAATGAAACATGGGCTGGGAAAAATTTGTTTTAATAATGAGAATTAGGTTTTCAAAAGTGCATTCACAGGATTAATTACAGCATACATTATTTGATACTTTGAAGTATTGAGTCTTAAGAATATCTTGGGTTTGCTGTTTTGTGTTAATTATTTGATTTGATTATCTGTCTACAACTGGTACTGGTGTTTGGGCATCTACTAACTTTTTATGGTTTTGTGAATAGATGGACTTTGTTTTGAGGCAAAACTCCCATTTTCAGGCAAGTAGATGATGTTTAGCAAGTTTTGATCTCTCTTAAAAGGTATATACGCTGTCAGTGTCTGGAGACCGGCTGATCGTGGGGACGGCAGGCCGCAGAGTGTTGGTGTGGGACTTGCGGAACATGGGCTACGTGCAGCAGCGCAGGGAGTCCAGCCTGAAGTACCAGACTCGCTGCATACGCGCGTTTCCCAACAAGCAGGTACTGAGAACGTCCGGAATTTGAAGGTTGTAAGACCTCATACAGTAATTAATGATTTGATCATTTCCTTTAAAGCTTATTTTTTTGTGTAGTGATTTAGAATTTGTTGTTAGGTATATCTTCATTTAATATTTTTGACAACTTTTTGTCACAAGCTAATGTCTTAACACCCATTTTAGAGAAGGCCTTGATGTTCACAGAGGTTAAGATACCTGTCCAGGATCACTCACCCAGTGGCTTGAATGGACATCTTCCAGTTTTGTTGATCCTGGTCTGGGTGCTTGAAGGGTATACTGTAATCAGAGTTCGGAAGGTATTCTAGTTTATAAACTGGTAAATTAAAACTTAAATTTGGGAATTCAGGTCTATGGAATCTACTCTTCTTTTTGCTGTGACCCCAGTACTAACAGAACTCTTTCTTGAAGGACTCCGACTGAGGTGAAAGAGGCAGTGCCCCTTACATAATGAGTAACTCTTGATGTACGGGGTGGGTCGCCTTCTGTCATCATCACTGAATGAGATTAGCCTGTTCATTAGCCACTGCGAAGGCCTCCCAGCCTGGGCCTCCCCCACCCCCCTTTACCGTTGTAAGAAGCTGCGGGGGTGGGCAGCTGGGGGTGGGCAGCTGCAATAGGAATTTTGCAAGAGGAAGAGTCACTGGACTCTTACGGCCGTCCTTTAGAGCTTGCAGAATGTAGAGCAGTTCAGTTAGTTATTCTGTTGGCTCATTATCACAGAAGGCCAGTACCTCAAATGATGATCATGGTTCTTCTTTTTCAGGAGATTGTGAATTTCCATTGGATATAAGAATTGCAGTGATTCTAAACTTTAGAAATTGATATGTGATTAAAATATGCTTGCATTAATTACATTGCTTTTAATTCTTTGTCTGAAATATCTCATAAGCATTTTTTAGGAATAAATCTTTTTTATACCTTAAAGGATTTTTAAAAATGAAGATACAAAACAGGTTGCATATTTGTTTATTATCTGTTCCTTTTAGCATGCTGTCTGTACAAGGAAAGATGAGAACAGTTTGAAATTGTAAACCTGGTCTGTGTGTGTACAAACTTGACTTGCTGATGTAAATGCAGAAGGCAGAGCGACTGAGTTGGAAGACGGAGTATCTCAGTCGATGTGGATTATCGGTTCCCCCGGTGAAGGCGGCACATTTCTTAGAGTCAGAGGTGAAGAGGCTTGGAGCACAGGAGTGTGTATTTTAACTGCAGGAACAAATCTGAGTCCAGACAGGACAACAGATAAATGCCGCTAAAACACTTTACAATTCTTGTTTAGGTTTGACAGAATAACTAGACATTTTTGGTTGCAATGGGGGAGGTGCTGGAGAAAGCAAGTTGTGACAGTTTTGTTTTTCATAAAACAGGATTAGTCTTATGTTGTAGAATTGTCATATCTGTGTTAGTGTAGTGTAAAAACTTTGCTAACACTTGGTTGTGCTTTCTTTTGATTCCTGAAGTAGTAGTCTTTCCACCTGGACTGAATTTGGAATTAGTGCTTTGTTTTTAGAACCCGTGTCACCCTTGTTGTCCCCTTGTTTCCCTTTTGTCAGGGGTATGTGTTAAGCTCCATTGAAGGCCGAGTGGCAGTTGAGTACCTGGACCCAAGCCCTGAGGTGCAGAAGAAGAAGTATGCCTTCAAGTGCCACAGGCTGCGAGAAAACAACATCGAGCAGATTTACCCTGTCAATGCCATTTCCTTTCATAATGTTCACAATACATTCGCCACAGGTAACATACGGCATGCTAACTTGTATCTGGTTATTAAGATAATATAATTTTTGAAGTTAATTGAGCAGTTTTTATGCTTAGGTAGGTGTTGTGGTTTTTTTTTTTTTTTTTTTTTTTTTTTTAATTGTGCTTAGTCTTCTGGTATTGAGGGAAAAAATTCTTCATGACTTTAACAAAATTAAGATTAAAGGTTACTTTGGTATCTGGTATTAAGAACCATTTCAAATATTTTGAAATTACTTGTAGGTGGTTCTGATGGATTTGTAAATATTTGGGATCCATTTAACAAAAAGCGACTGTGCCAGTTCCATCGGTACCCCACCAGCATCGCATCACTTGCCTTCAGTAATGACGGGACTACGCTTGCAATAGCATCATCATATATGTATGAAATGGATGACACGGAGCATCCTGAAGATGGTATCTTCATTCGCCAAGTGACAGATGCAGAAACAAAACCCAAGTGAGTATGCTTCACCTGTGTTTGAGCCTTTTCTTGCATTCAACCCAGGATTTATTAATTTTTCTAAATTCATGAATAGCATTGTTGATGCCTGCTTGATATTACAGCTGACTGTAGGGTTGGAGTTGATTTTATCTTGTTCTCCCAAGCTTTCAATATCCGTAGGTTGATAGACGTCTGATGGATAAAATTGTGCCTAGTTGTTTTGTAGAGAAGAATGTCAAACTCTCATTCTTCTTGAATGGGCTCTATTATTTGAATCTCTGGAGTTATTACTAGCTCATTGCATCAAAATTAAGTTGAGGAATTCAAGAATAATTTATTTTAGCAAATTTCTATTTAAGATATTTTAAGGATTTGAATGGCCAAAAATCCTCTCCATAGCGGCTGTTTCTTTAATATTTACACAAAGTGAATGACCCTCAGATTTTACTGAAAATCCAGAATAACACGGCCTTGCCTGGAGTAGCGGATTTCCTTAGTTTTGAAATTTTCATAGACGTCTTTGGTTCTTGGTTATAATTATTGACTGAGAGAAACCATTTTTTTTTTTTGTTTAATGCTAACAGAGCTAAGCTTTTTTACTTAAATTATCTCCACTAGGCTTGAGGGAAGATTAACATTTAAGCATTTGTTAAACTGTAAAGTATCTTCCCCAAGTGTCTTTGTCCTCTTCTCTCTCGCTTATCCTCCAGGCCCTTGAAGGAAATTCTGAGTATTTGTGGAATAACAAAGTTTTCAGGATTCCTATACTTTTTGAATTAAATGGGTATAGTAACCTTGCTAAATCAGTTCAGCCTCTGAGAAAGAGTAGAATACTAAATATTCATATTATACATGTTTTTACGGGTTTGACTTTAGAAGAGTGTTAGCATGTGAGACCTGTTGGATAAAGGGCTATGTTTGCATTTAATTTGTCACTTTTGTGTCTCTTGTCCTGGCCAGCCATTTTGATCTTATGCTCTTCTTTTTTTCTTTTGAACTTGTAGGTCACCATGTACTTGACAAGATTTCATTTACATAAGTGCCATGTTGATGATAATAAAACAATTCGTACTCCCCAATGGTGGATTTATTACTATTAACAAAGAAACCAGGGAAACATACTAATTTTAATATCATAAGAGCCTGAAAATAATGGAAAAGAGGTTTTTATTAATTTTTTTTAATGAACAATTTCTTAAGTGCATGAGATGGTTTGATGGTTTGCTGCATTAAAGGTATTTGGGCAAACAAAATTGGAGGGCAGTGACTGCACTTTTGAGAATCAGTTTTGACTTTGATGATTTTTGTTTCCACTGTGGAAATAAATGTTTGTAAATAAATATGGGTAATAAAAATCCTTTTGCATTCTTTCTGGACCTGAAATTAGAGGAAAAGGCTCCTGAGCCATTTGTTCTCTCACTGGTCAGAGTTGCTAATTCTAAAGCTGCTTCAGACTGCCTCACGAGGAGGTTAATCTACAATTAAACAATATTTCCTCTCGGCCGGCCATTATTTTCTGAAGCAGATGGTTCATCATTTCCTGGGCTGTTAAACAAAGCGAGGTTAAGGTTAGACTCTTGGGAATCAGCTAGTTTTCAATCTTATTAGGGTGCAGAAGGAAAACTAATAAGAAAACCTCCTAACATCATTTTGTGACTGTAAACAATTATTTATTAGCAAACAATTGATCCCAGAAGGGCAAATTGTTTGAGTCAGTAATGAGCTGAGAAAAGACAGAGCATATCTGTGTATTTGGAAAAATAATTGTAACGTAATTGCAGTACATTTAGACAGGCATCTATTTGGACCTGTTTCTATCTCTAAATGAATTTTTGGAAACATTAATGAGGTTTGCATATTTCTCTGACATTTATATAGTTCTCATGTCCATTTCAGTTGCCCAGCCGCTGGTGATTAAGGTTAAAAAGAAAAAAAATGACAGTGAGAATGAGATTTCAGTGTAATGCGTTGAAGCAGAACATGAACTTAGCTTGGCCTATTCTAGGTAGCTCCCAATATTTTTGATGTCAGACTTTTTTTCAATTTGTTATTTGCAAATGTGTGTCTCTGAACAGGACTTGGACCTTTACTGAAATTTGTTTTATCTCTGATGTATGTGGAACACATTGTTTTGATGCAGAGAAGGCTCTTTGTCTTCTGATTGTTTCGTGAAAGCGTAGTGTAAGTCTGAACCCAGCTTTTGAAATGTGTTTTCTTCATTGCAGGTCCACCTAACCATCTCCTGAAAGTGGTTTCTCTGTGGAAAGCTTTGTTTGCTTCCTACGATACATGCTTATCCCTGTCCCCTAAGGGGTGTCTTTGAGTCACTGTGGCATGTGTTAGTATGTGGATTTCTCTGTTTTTATCTTACAAAGAACGTGTGTCGAGGCTGAGGCCTCTGTGCCCGTGTAGTAGTTGGAGAATTTCCCCACCTTCCCCCAGCAAGCCCAGTTGCTGTTTGAGTAGTTTGAGTCTTTCTTTGTAACACTCTAAACCTGTTATTTCCTTGCTGTCTAATAAATCAGAGATTCAGAACCCTTAAATGTTGGATGTTTTTAAATGCTGGTAATTAATGTAATTTACTGCTTAAAAGGCTTCTGTAAAGCAAAACTCTCTTCATCAAGGGCGTGCTGAGGATGACATTTTACCTTTAAGTCCACTCTGCCTCGTTTAATTATGTCTGCTCTGATGAATGCTGGGGATTCAGCCCTGGATAAAGTGATGTGCTGGAGGTCAGCCATTTCCCCTGTGCCGCCTCCGTGGATCAGCAAGGCCCTTGAGCCAGCTGCAGTTCTGCTCTGGACAAACGGAGACTGTGTGGCAGCCTTTGGGTGCCTTTTGGCCTCCTGCTTGCCTAGTGGTGCCAGTGCAGTGGCGCTCATTCGTGCCTGTGCTGGGGAAATTGCTGTCCACACACAGCCAAATGATAGATCGTTCTGTCTTTATCCATCACATGCTAAGTCAGAAGCCCTGGGGATGGTAAATAATGTAATTGCCAGGGCCCTAACTGATGGTATTGTCATAACCACTTGATTGAGGGTAGCATGAATTTAAAACATTGTGTAACTGCGGGAATATAGTATTAAAGGGGACCAAATTAAAGCAGTGTTGAGGACCTGTTTTGGAGGTTGTGTGGAAGGACTTGTTTTTTCCCCCTTTTTGATAGTTCATCTAGGGCATCCTCTTGTATGTTGAAACCACATGGCTCTGCCTTCCCTACATATACCTGAGCCAGCTCTTAACTGTTGTCTGCTGATAGTTGCTGCTCTTCCCCATATTACTCAGGTGTGGTTGCCTTGGCCTTTTCCTTTTTTTTTTTTTTTTTTCTTTCTTCTGTGATTTGTTTATTTGAAAAAGAGTTTACGGAGAGGGAGGAAGATATATTTGCTGGTCCATTCTCAAATGGCTGCCAGGGCCAGAGCTGGACTGATAAGGAGCCAAAAGCTTCTTTAGGGTCTCCCATGCAGGTACAGGGGCCCAAGCACGTAGACCATCTTCTTCTGCTTTCCTGGGTGCATTAGCAGAGAGCTGGATCGGCAGTAGAGCAGCTGAGCTGGAATTTGAACTGATGCCCATATAGGATGCCAGGGTCTCAGGCAGCGGCTCCATCTGCCATGCCACAGTGCAGGCCCCTTACCTTGGCTTTTTCATTAGTTCCCTTTTCTGAGGTTGTTTTGTTTTTTAGAAAGCATTAGAGAAGGAGAGGCAGAGAGGGGATCTTCTATGTGCTAGTTCACTCCCCAGGCTGAAGCCAGCAGCTAAGAGATTCTTTGGTCTCTGTGAGTGCAGGGGCCCAAGTAATCGGACCATCTTCTGCTGCTTTCCCAGATACATTAGTAGGGAACTGGATTGAAAGTGGAATGGTGGGGACTCAAACTGGCACTCATATGGGATGCTGGCTCTGCAGGCAGTGTCTTAACCCAATATGTCACAGTGCTGGGATGTCCACCTCCCCCACCCCACCCCCGCCCCCCGGTCCAGGTTCTTAAAAGTGTCTAGTGCAGTGACTGTCAAGCGTTGTAGCCGTTAACCTTTCTTCTCATTTTGAAATTTGAGTTTCAGTCCAGAGCTTGGTCATAGCATGTAGAACAGACAGAAGGTTCATAAAACATCAGTTGCCTGTCTCGCATGTGATGAATCAAGTGTTTCTGAACTGAGTTTACAGTAAATGCATCCTTGCTATCTAGGACTTGCAAAAAATTGCCCAATACCATGCAGGATTTTTAAACTCATTTTTATCACCGTATACTTGGAGTTCTCCGAGGCTTCCCACGGATCATAGTACTTCCTATGGAGATACTTCTTCCAAAGCGTTCACACCAAGGGACTGCTGACAATAAAGTGCTCTCAGAAGAATTGTGGCAGGACTGTTACTGGGAATTCTTCAAAGTGGGTGAGATGGGAATTAGGGAGGCAGCAGTGTCTGAGTTAACTGCGTACAAATGCATGTGCATATTAGCAGGTCTTCCTTTGTTCTGTGGGATACTAAGGTCTTGCTCCAAGGACCAGGCCTCTTCCCAGTTTGACACTGGCATTTAATTCCTTCATTGTTTGCCTTCATTATCTACTAAAAGTCTGGTGTTGCTTATAAGCATTTTTATTTTCTGTGAAAAAAGGTTCTGTGGTCAAATAAGATTACCTCCTTTCCCTCACTGGGAAGCCTTTGGGGAACGTGGAGAAATTCAGTGGAAAAAAGATACATGTAAATCTGTTTACCTCCATTTTCCTCAGATTCCTTGGATCCTTTGTCTGCTCTTGTACACCCTGTCCCCACTCATTTTAAAATAAAGTCTTATATTTGAAAGGCAGAGTGACAGAGGGAGGGAGAAAGAGATCTTCAGTCCACTGGTTCACTTTCCCAAAACCAATAACAGACAGGGTTGGGACGGGATGAAGCCAGGAGCCAGGAACTCTATCTGCGTCTCCTACCTGGGTGACACAAAACCAAGAACTTGGCTACATCTGCTGCCTCCTGGGATGCATCAGCAGGAAACAACCAGAAGCAGCGTATGGCGTGGTGGTGTCAGAAGCCACAGCTGGTTTCTGCTCCACTCATTTTACCTTCTTCCATTCTCCAGGAAGTGCTGGCTGGACTGCCTCCCTGTTCACTCATCTATCTGCTTGTGTTGATTCCTGAATCTTAGTGTGCTCGGTCTTTCTGAGTTACTCTCTCAGGCTTTGATTTGGATCCTTAAAGACCCTGTTCAGGGTCCCTTTTTCCATGCCTACTTGCAGCTCACAGGGGTGAAGCCCCTCCTGCTTTAACCTTGGGCAGTGGTTCTGCTGCCTGGTGTTACAACGTTTCTCTCATGCACCTCTGTGTTACATCAAGAATGGGGGAGCCACATCTGTTTGTATACTCTGGCCCATGAGTGTTGGGCCAGGGTTTTTGTTTGTTTGTTTTCAGTTAATTTTCATCTACTTGAAAGCGGAGAAACACAGAGTTGTTTGGTTTCGTCTTATTTACTCCCCAACTGCCTGCAGCAACCAGGGCTGAGCCAGGCCAAAGTCAAGAGCCTGGAACTTTATCTGGGCCTCCCACTTGGGTGACAGGGGCCGAAGCTCTTGAGCCATCTGCTGCTGACTTCCAGGATGCATTAGGAAGCTATGTCAGAAGCAGAGTAGCCGGGACTCCAGGCTTCCCAAGTGATGGCATATGCCTTTAGGCCATTTTGATATTGCTTAATGGTTTAGATAGACATTGCTCAGTGCATAAACACCCTTGGTTTTGTTCAACTTTTAGGCATTTATTGTTTTTTAAATTTATTTTTAAAATTTTCTCCCCAAAGAAACCTTTAAGGAATACAGATTTCATGCATTTCATAAGTACAACTTTAGGAATACAGTGATTCTTTCCACCATACCCGCCTTCCCACCCACTCTGCCACCACTACTGCTCCTCTCCCATTCCCAATCCCATTCTCCACTGAGATCCATTTTTGATTACTTTATACACAGACGACCAACTCTATAAAGTTATTTGCTTGGAACAAAAACATGTTAAACAGTCGGGACGAGTGCTGTTCAAAGTCATTGCATCTTGAAGTTAATTTTACTGTTTTTTTTTTTTAAATTTTGAAACTTAATTCTTTAAAGAAGAACCCAAGAATGATACATCTTTTGGGAGCACTTAGACATAGTTACAGTACAACTAACTCTTTGAGGACAGAGGTCTTGCATGAAAGTAAGTACACAGTGACTAAGTTAATTTAACAATTAACATTCTTATTTATGATGTCAGTGATAACCGGAGGCTCTTGACATGAGCTTCCTAAGCTATGCAAGCCTTTTAAATCCACAAACTCCATTGGTGTTTAGTCAAGGCCATAAGCAAAGTGGAAATTCTCTCCTCCCTTCAGAGAAGAGTATATCTTTTGATGACCACTTCTTTCCACTGTGGGTATCACCTACTGAGGTCCTTCGTGCAGGACATGGTTGGTTTTTTTTTTTTTTTTTTGCCACAGTGTCTTGGCTTTTCAGCCAGACTGAAATGCCTTAAGGGCTGATTCTGAGGTCAGGGTGCTATTTAAAGTGATGGCCGTTCTGAGTCTGCTGTGTGGAGTGTTAGGCCTTTATTGTAGAAATGATATTCTCATTGTAGAAATCCAGATAACTTAGATATGAGTAATGAATAAAGCTATTGCCATTCTTTGATAGAAGGTAAGTTTTTTTTTTCAAGTTTATTGTGGTATAATTAGCAAAACTTGTATATACATTGTGAGAGGATGACCACAGTCAAGTAAGTTAATATCCGTCACCTCATGTAACTTTTTGTATAGGATTTTTTTTTAGCACATTTCAGATACACAATGTGGTATTGGCTAGCCAGCATGCCGTACATTAGGTCTCCATAAGACAGTCATATCTGTGTACGTGCATACCAGCTCTCAGAGCAGGGATTTGCTGTCACACTGCCGACTTCCCTTCTAGAAATTTTCCTTGTAAATTAATGTAGTTCTCAAATGTCCATGGATTCCTAGTCCTTAAATATGCCAGGATGTTTTTCTTTGTAAAACATTTTTGAACTGTTTCAAGCGTTCAGAAGAACTCAGGATCACATCCATAAGTTGACCATCTAGATTTAAAAATGGATATCTTGCCATACTTGCTACATTTGAAAGAAAAAAAAAAAAAAACCAGGCAGAGCCAGTGTCCCATTTGCTGGTTCACATCCAATTGCCTCTAACAGTTGGGGCTGAATCAGATCCAGCAGTGCAATCCAGGTACCGACGAACGCGGCAGGAACCCAGTTGTTTCTGTCATCTCTGCCCCCAGGATCCTTGTTAGGGAGCTGGGGTCAGGCGTTGGAGCTGCGTATCAGACCTAGACCAGTGTGGGATATGGGCACTAGGCTAAATGCCCACCCCCTTCTCTGTTTCTAAATAAAACTTGGCGCATACTTGAAGTCTCATTTATACCCTTCCCTTCCCTTTTTTTTTTTTTCCTGACAGAGTGGATAGTGAGGGGGAGAGACAGAGAGAAAGGTCTTCCTTTTTGCTGTTGGTTCACCCTCCAATGGCCGCCACGGCTGGTGCGCTGCGGC